CAGCCACCAAATTTATATATATATATATACACACACACACACACACACACACACACACACACACTAGTATTCAGATTCTAATTCAAATTTGAACTAGAATCTGAATATATTTGCTGTGTGATGTTGCGTTCACTCTAATCTTTCTAAGCCTCACTTTCTGCACTTGTAAAATGGGTATATCACTGACCTCCTAGGGTTGTTATAAGAATTAAGTAGGCATTACTATTTAAAGGACTTAGTTATTACCATTAGAAGTATCAGCAAGTTAATGCTACTCTCAGCAGGAAAATAACATTTAATTTTGTATCAAGAGTCTAACACACTGCCTTGTAGAAGAGAGTATTGCACAATTGTTTGTTGAACTGAAAAGCAGGCACACCATGATCACTTAAAAAAGTATTCTTTGGGGGAAAAACGTCTTGAGTAATATAAGTTGTAGATAAATAGTGGCTTACCTAGGAATCTTCTTGACCCCAGTTCACGGTATTATGAAATTTTAATTTGATAGATATTTTATATTGAGTGGATTTTCCTAAATATTTAGCTTACCACATTACTGAATACGCATATTTTTATAGGGCTTTTGTAATTCCTTTATCATTCTTATTTCTGAGTGTCTATCCATGCTAATTTATTTTTTAACAGTTTACTCCTCACCAAAGGATCCCTTGTGAGAAGACAAACCAACCTGGATAAACTTAGAGTGTCCACCTTCTTTTGCTATAGTCATATTTCTTTCCTCTACCTTCACTGTTTTCCTTTCCTGCCTTGAAAAGGGATGCCCGTGGTAGACTTGAGATCTACTGCATAACCTCATTCACTCAGTATGAATATAGTCAAGAGTGGTATGAGGTGGTAGCAAATAGAGCATTTCAGCTGTGAGAGAAAAATTATTCACATAAGGAAACAAATGCAATGAGCCAGAAACTGATGCAAGCTACACCAGAATAAGACATAGTCACAAAATCTAAACTGACTCATAGAGATAAACAAAAGCTCACAAAGGCATTTTGTATAAACCAATCGGTCTTTCATCCCCACTCAGAAATTATGGCTCTGAAATACAGAAATCTCAGATCACTTAATAATCCATCTCCAAACAAGTAATTAATGTCCGTTTTACAATGAAAGAAAATTAGTTCTGTAAAAACTGAGAAACTTGCCAATATCAATCGCCAAATAACGAATACAGAGTAGCTGGAGTCAGCGATTGCCAGTTTCTCTCCTCGGAGCTAACACCCTGACCTTCTCAGCAGATGGGAGGTTATCTAAACATCACTAAAATGTTGGGGTTAAGAACCTGCCTCCTGTTAGGTGTATTGATGAATAAACGTAACAAAGAAGATCCCTTAGTTTTCTTCTGCTGCTGCTTAGTTTTCCCTACAGCAACAGAAATTTCTGAACAATAGATGAATGAGCCCTAAAAGCACATTTCATTTGAATTTCTTTTCCTTTCAACTCTTAAATGCATCAAGTACAGATAATCTTCTAAGTATGTGGAATTTGCAATGTTAAAATTGCATAAAAGACAGTATCACACTGAATATAACCCAACAAGACATCAGAGAGACATAAAATATTTTCAAGACCTATTACTAATCTACTTTTTCCAAAGATTACAATGCTAATAGATAGCATTTATTGAATATGTACTGTGCTGTTTTACATAGAATACATTTAGTTCTCGTAACAGTCATGAGGTGTATACTATTATCATCATCATATTACAGAAGAAGGAAGCTCGGAGAGTCTGAGAATTTGTCAAAGTTCCCAGTGTGTGAGCGGTAGAAATGAGTTTCTCAGTCAAATCTTTTATATTCCAGCTAAGAGCCTTCCTTCTTGACACCATGAAATATTCAAAAACTTGAAGTTTCCCGTTCTGTTTGATATCATCTACATTATCCCCATCCTTATGAGAATTTACTGAGTAAAAATGAGGCAAGATGGTATTTATGTTAGATAAGACTCCATGCTGCTAGCACAGAAAACCAAACTCAAGCTGGCATTAACAATAACAGATCTGGATAATGTGCCCACTCTCAAATGAACTCTGGAGCTGGAGGAACACCATGTATGGATTGGCTCAAGACTGGATGAAGCACTCATCAATCAACCACACACTTTGGCAAGAAAAAAATGGATAGCTCAGATTGCAATCTGGGCAATTCTTGAAGGCATGGATGGAAACAATCTCTACCTACCCTCAATTAAATGGTTGTCCCTGGAGGTGGGTAGAGGGGAAATGGGAAAAGAGAAGCATGGGTAAATAAGTCAAAGTCAAGCAAATGGAACCCTGGCATCCTGTCCCAGTAAAAGATTAACACACAAATTAAAATTAAAGATCATGTTTAGATTCCACATCTTAAAAATAATATTTTACTGATGATGTGTGAATTAGCTATCCTATACTGTGTTGTAACAAATTATTTAAAATTTTTTCTTTTGTAAAAAATCTTTATTATTGAAAGTATTACATATGTCCCCTTTTTCCCCATTGACCTTTACCACCCTGCCCCCAGTTCTTCACCACCCTATTGTCTGTGTCCATGGGTTGTGCATATACGCATTTGGGCTCATTGGTTGATCTCTTTCCCACTCTCCCGAGCCTTCCCTCTGATGTTTGATAGTCGGTTTGATGTTTCTATGCCTCTGGGTCTATTTTTGTTCATCAGTTTATGCTGCTCATTAGATTCCACATATGAGCTAGATCATGTGATACATACCTTTCTCTGAGTGGCTTATTTTGCTTAGCACAATGCTCTCCAGGTCCATCCATGCTGTTGCAAATAATAAGAGTTCTTTCTTTTTTTAC